GTCGCGATAAGTTTTTGGGTATTTGCGGTTTCACGTGGTAGCTGAAGTTTAGTACCCCAAATCTGGGGTATGCTTGTCTCTAGCAGAAAAAACGTGGATCCGCTGCTGTTTGCCTTGTTCCTGGTGCGTGATGGAAGTGTGTATGTGGAAGCGAACTGATTGACATCTATTCTGCAGGGTTAATCAATAATCAGAATGGTTATTCATGTAATGCGTTTTTGTAGACCTTACTGAAAGCCTTAACTGCACTACAGGTAGTTACAGGGATGAAATTTCTACATCACTGTCGTCCTCAGGAGATAATATTTTTTAACAAATCCGAAGTATTGTGCTCCCATTGTTGGGGTAGTGTGGTGGTAGCTGACTGTCATATGTCTTGATAAAGTTTCGAAGTTTGAAACTAAGTAATAAACCCAAGTTCATTATGTGTACTGCCAACTTCCCTCACTACTTTTTAAGTAAAAATGTGATTGCTGATATTTTTCCTTTACCTATTGATATTTCAAAATCCAAAGTCTGGGAAGCTTTGCCGTGGTGGGAAATGCAGCTGTCCCAGGGAACTAATCATGCCTAATGTTTATTTTTTCAGTATAACCGTATGCAGAGGTGAAAATATAAATGTTCACTGAAGTCAGCACTCCAACTTCTTTCAAAGAGTAGATGTTACACTAATTTAAACTTGCATCCTGCCTCACAGTGATGTGTAAAACCTTTGCTGTTCTTAAAAGCTAGCTATTCTGATACAGAAGTTAAGAAGGCTTCTTTTTGCATTGCGATTCAAAAAAACTTCCTGATGTCTTTTAACACACTGTTGTAATAGAAGCCTTTATAGGGAGACATGTTGATGAGAACAGTCTTGGATAAATGCTGATTAATCAAACGGCAAATAGTCTTAAGAAGTATCTTTCTGAATAATTTAATTTTAAAAGTGTACGGAGTAATTCTGCTATGATCAACGTTTTTTCACACTTGCTTTAAAACTACATGTTGCAAAATTTCAAGAGAAAGTTATAGTTCTCACTGGAGTGAGAATCTTTTTTTTTAGTTAATCTGTCAAATGTACTTATGGAGGAGCTTGTAATTTTGTTTTCCCTTTGTTCTATTTTAGAATACAGTTTTGGTTTTTTTTTTCTTAAGTTGTGGAATTGCTATCTAATGTGAGTGTATGATTCTGAAGCTGTGATACAACTAGTATGATGAGTCTCTTTTCCCAAGTTGGTTTTTTTTTTTTTTTTTAAAATTTTCATAAAGGTTTTATTATTTCAGTTGAGAAAGGATGGAAAAAGAGTTATCTGTCAGTTGGGGTACTGCCCTGAAATACTAATAAAGATATCTTAATGTTGACATTGTTTCTGGTTTGGGTAGAAATGAGGCAGCTAAAACATATGTAGTTCTTAAACGGAACAAATCTAACATTGTGAAGTAGAACCTCCCTAATGAAGTATCTTTTGAGTGAGTGAAACAAAGACTATAGACATATTAGAGGTGAATCTACTGAGTATTTTTAAAGAAATTTTCTGAAGCAGAGCCTTTATGTGTTTCAGTGAAGATACAGATGGTTGGTGATAACTGCAAGTTTGAGTATGCTCTGAGATTCTAAGTGCTGTCTTTGCCACTTCAGGAAGACCTGGGGGTTTTGGGTGATTTGGAGGTGTTCTTTTTTTGTTAGAAGATGCTAAACACCTTCTGAGAATTGAATGTCATTGTTTGGTCTCCAAACTGTTAGTTGAAAATTCAAGCTGCTAAGATAGGTGTTGGTTAAAACTGCCCTAATAGACCTAAAGTTAAACAACATTTTTCATAAGTCCTCTTGTGACTTTTTATTTTCAAGGGCATTTAATAAAAAAATAAAAGAAGAAAAATTACACTTCCTTGCTGCTTTGATACAGAAGTGGAGGCATCAGTTTATTTCTGTGAAATGCTGAGGCTAATTTAGATCCAAACCTTATATTTAATGAGGGTGAGAATATGTAAAAGTAAACACAGAGAAATAATTTTTATTTGGATCAGAAAATTTCTGTAGAAAGCTGTGAGAATTTCATTCTTATGGCAAAGAAATTGGCACTCTGTTTAAGCTTATTATGTTAGCAGGAAAATGTGACTGAAGTTAAAGCGATGAAACTCAAAGAAACCAGACTGGTGTGAACTGTGATTTTTTGCTGGTTATCAAAAGCAGACCAGATATGTACCTAAACCTATGGGTGTTTATAGTTGAGGTTAGTGGGTCCTTGTGTTGCTTGGTTAGCAAGAGGAAAACTCAGGAACAACACTAAACACAGCAGCTGTATTTTATTTTCAAATTAAATTCATATTAAAATTCAGTCATTCTTGTACCAGATTAAATCTTCAGGTAACAAGACTTCAAAATTCTGGAAGATAATGCTCAAGCTTTTAAAGAGTCATTAACCACTTCCTTATTATTATCCACAGCTTTCTGGCTCAGAAGCCTTTTTGAATTTTTTTATTATTATTTTTATTCTACAGAGAATTACATAGTTTACCTTTTCCTGTCCTTGCTTTATAAATACCTGTTTTTAACCCACTTTGAGTTACGTGCTTGTGGAAAACATGTAGTATAGCCTAGTGTGAATGAAGTTCACTCCCCAATCTTCTTTACTACTACTGTCTGATATAATCAGAAATGGAAATCATCTATCACAATCAGAAACATGAAAATAGAGAAATATAAATAAATCTCCTAGTTTCCCTAGCAGCTGTCAAATTGCTCTTCATTTGATTTAATCTTTAGTCAAGAAAATTAATCTGCTTTGTGTACCCTGTCTGGGGAGATAAGCAGTTGATTTGGGTTCTATCAGGGAGTATTTATCAGTTTTTCTGCTGAACTAATCCTGTGTTAAGTGATAAGCACAAGTGTGTGTTTGTCAGCTTCTAAAGGATATTGTGATTAAATGAAATCTTGTATCAAAACATGAGGATGAGAGTTAGTTATATTATAAAATGATGCCTGCAGCTCCTGTTTCAAGGTACAGTTCTTAATTCTTTTGCACCCGTTAACTGTTGCATGTAATTGCACTCTAGCTTTTGGTTTTCCTGCTTTTGACCATTGTATATATTTTGTACTGTTAGTTTCATTTGGTGCTGTATATTTTTAACTAAAGAGTATATTTAAGAGACCTTTTTTCCTTTTTTTTTCTCATTTCAGCATGTGAAAATTGTGCCTATTTCTTCAGGTCTGTGGACGTGAGTTTTACATTGGAGTTAGAGGCAGCATTTTTGACACACTTTGCAGAGTGGGTAGGTGAAAAACGATTTTGACTGCTCCTGTTGATACCACTCTTCCTTGCTCTTGCTGTTTCCCTCCTGGCTGAAGTTGTTCAAACTCAGGTCTGCTGCCAAAAGAGCAGCACCATCCTCAACAGTGCATTTCTGCACCTCCCTCATAGTGTAGCAACTGTCATATGTGAAATGCATGGTAAAATAAATTATTCTGGTACCAGGCTGCCTGGCAGTTGTTAGTCACTGCAGTGAGAGCAGTGAAAACAGAATGGTGAGGAATGACATGACTACCTTTGCTCACTGCAGCCATAGATCAGCTTAAAATGACCAGGAAACCACACCCTGAACTTCTTGTGAAAGCCAGTGGAATGAATGCTCATATGATTCAATAAACCAACCATTATCTCTGCAATTAACTTTCTTAATCACACTGAACTACTAGTAATTTAACTTGGTGCCATTCTTACTCATTAAAAGACATGGTGTATTACAATGGCATTTGAAGTCAAGGAGAAGATAAATCATTCTTTCTGCACAGTGAGTAGTAGAAGCGAAGGAATCAGAATTGTGTTTGCATGTGTACACTGTGTGAAAGTGTGCATGCTTCACACAAGCACACAAGTGGATGGTGGGCTCAGTGCTCTCTCTTAGGATTTTACCATTTAAATGAGACAATACTGTTATCTTGGAAGGAGGATTGCATTAATCATGGGAATAACAATGATCCAAAAGCAGTTCACATATAGGCAGAAATCAAATCTTAACATGTTGTCTGCTTTGGGTGGGACCAGACTATATGTCAGAATTGGGGAATAGTAACCTTTTCCTTGTATGTAAGTTGCATGGTAGCTACAACTGAAGTACATGAGAAGGATGTAACAAAATTTTAGAGTATTTCTCCAGCTTTTGATCCAGATTAGTAGGTAGTTCCTAGACTGCACTACTTTGGAAAAGACAATGAATATTTTTAAAGCAAGAATTCAAGGCACATTTTTGCACATGTCCAGAGTGATAACATACTTCAAGGGCTGCATTTGAATGTGTAAATTATGCTTCAACACTTTGAGATACAGACTCCTATCTTAAAGGTCTTTTCCAACCTAAATGATTCTATGATTCTCTGTGTCTTCAGGCTTTTAACCACAGTGTTTTCTAGGCTAAGAACAAATATTGTTTGGCAGTCAGTATGAAATGCATGATGCAGTGATCCCAAAGACCACTAAAAATGAAAAGAATACATCATCCAAGTATTTTATTGACTGGTAACATTAAGAGGTGACATAGTTCAATTAATAAATTACATTTAATCCCTCTTGTTACATTTAGGCCTTTATCTTCCTGATTGTGCTCAGCTTAATTAGGATTTTCTCTATTTTTTTTTTTCCATTTCTGTAGGTTTTTGCTGGTTCACTTCCTCATTTTATTACACATGGTACTGAATTAATTTTCTTACTCTTTAGATTTGTCAGTTCATCTGTTTCTATTTTCTAGTCTCTAATTTGTCTTTCTTGCTTCACGTGTACAAACAAACTGTTTGTTCTGGTCTTGTGTTATCGGGAAAACTACTCTACTCATGTCTGTTCCTTCCCCTTCATCTCAATTATCTGTCCTTTTCCCAAAACACAATCAATGTTGAAGTAATTCAGCGCACAGTTTATGACCTTGGATATGGTGGAAGCTGCAGTGCAAAACTTAGTTTCTGTGGAGAAAACTTCTAAAACTCAAAAGCAGGTGATATGCTTGTTTTTCATTTGATTTCTGTCAGTGCTAGAAACATTTTTTCTGTGTAGTAAGACCTGGTAGAGAAGCTGAGCTGTCTTAATTATCATTAGCTTGAAATTCTGTCGTAGAAGATTTTCTTTCTATATCATTTTCTTCTACTGTGTACAAATCTGCTCATAAATATACAACGGTTTTCTAAAATGTATGGAAGTACAGTTAGGTGCTTTAAAAGTGTGACAGTAACTTGAAAATAATTCTTCATTGCTGAACCTTTCCTGCAGTGTTCCATAACATACTGTCTGTAGGGAAATCAGTTTGTTCATGCTAATTTTTGTCTTGCCATCACATAAAATAAGTTTCAACTGTATGTGTGTATATTTATATGTATGTACAGTAATGAGACTTCTATGTAAAGAAAATGGTCACTCTGTCTATACTGTTCCTTTGTAGCTTCTGCTCCATATAACCTGTTTTTGGTATGGTTGCTCTCCGTAGGGCTGAGGGTTGGATGATAAATGCAGTCTTTGGTGTAGAATCTTTAAGTAACAAAATTATAATTCATTAGAAATATTTTATTTTTGTGAATTTTATTTTGGACATATTTTTAGTCCATGTCTGTAGCAAGTGTAGCATAGTGTGTTGGGAAGGATGTCTCTCAGAGAAGCTATTTCTCATGTTACTGGTTGCCATTTCAGTGTGTACCTTAAAATATAAGGAGAGCAACTCAGAACACACACCAAAAGCAATGTCTCAGCAGGATCCAGGGTTCTAAAAGCAATCCAAAGACTAGATTTGAACTGTCCTAGACTGAAAAGCGTTGGTCATTCAATTTTCAACCAAACAGTCAAATTTAAAACTGTAGACTTTCCAAAGGTGGTAACTTGTTTAATAACCATATTTTGTAAAGCACGGAGAATCAACAGGGTGCATGGATTTAATTATTGATAAAATTTGGGAGTTGTGTTCTTCTCAAAGTCATGTTTCTTGCATAGCTTGTTGTATGTTTTACTGTTAAATCACTTCACAATATATTCAATCAGGGAAAAGTAATTTTTTTTACCAACTAACTGGTGTGTTCCATTGAGAGGTGGAAGAACTGAAGACTATTGGAGGATATATCACTGTGAAGTAAAACTGAAGGGAAAAGTTCATGTTGTGTGACTTATGTCGTATTTAGATGAAGGAATGAGCAAGGAGAAGAACTTGTCCAAGTGTATGGAAAAGATGAACCATTCATTTCCACAAAAGATGCATGTTTTTTGGATATGGGGGAGAAAAAAGAGGGGTTTATTGATGCTGTGCTATCTCCTGAGTCTGCCAAAAGGCTAAGATTATGACTTTTCCCTCTTTTATGCAACTAGTGTATTAATATGGAAGCTTTCATATAAAGCAAGATCTTTACAGGGGCTAGTTTATTACTTATTTTTCCAAAAGATGGAGTGGAGGTGGGCCTGAGAAACACAGACCACTGCATGACAGAATTTCTTAGTGTGAGAAACTGATAAGAAACTTTGCTAAGGAAGCAGAGAGGAAACCAAATACTCATGAGACGGAAAGGACAAAAACTGTGGGGTTCATCGGTATGACTGTATTTTCCTTACGTACAACACTACTCTCTTAGAAAGTATTAAGGAGTAAATAAAAATTCAACTTGTAAATAGGAATATTGAATCTGTTGTTGATCTTGAGGCAAATCTTTCACCTGCTAGAACAAGAGCTTGTTCAATTCATAGGTGATACACATAATCAAAAACACTTATTACTTTCCAACCTCTCTACTTTAAGTGTGAAAATTTTAGAGCTTTTAGTCCTAGATTTAAATGATTGTATGTGCATGTGAATTTTCCTTTTAAAAAAAAAATTAAAATTCCTCTCTTTTGGATGAGATCTTTAATTATGAAGCAGAAAATTCAATAGTCAAAAATGATACAGTCAAGAACATGTGTCTTTAGAGTGTCACAGTTAAGTTGAGACTGGAAAGATTTTTTTTAAAACTATTTGTAAGGCTTTGAAAATTGATAAATTAGTAAAGCAGTTTCATGCTTTTAAGTTAAATGATTGATCACTTAAGAGTCATAACGTTTTGGTATCTTCCTATGAATCTGTGATGCTTTTTGGGCACATGGGAAGTGAGTTTCCTCCCCCCAATATTATTTTCTTAAACTGATCTGAGTATATTTAGTTCTGCCAAACAGTAGGAATCAAAGTAACAAAAGTAGGTGTCTTTTATCCTGCAAGGTAGAGCAGCTGATAAACACTGTATCCTGGAATTTTTCTGTTTTCAGAAGGAACTAGAGTAAAAAATGAATGCCAAAAGGGATGCTTCAGATAACAGCTTTGCAGAAATTTTGATTGGTATTGTAATCCACCTAGTTGTTTTCTTTCTCTTTCTTCATGCTGTGCAAGTTAAACTATTTCCTTTGCAGGAGGAAAGAAAATAATCCACAGTTCATCACTTTTTTACTTTTATCACAGTGGGTTTTTTTCTTCCTTTAACCCATTTTACCTTTGCATAATTTGCTAACATCTTTCAGTCTTTTTTTCCTTTTTCTTTCTTTTTTCAAAATTTTTTATATGTGTTATTATATAGTGTAAGTGTTGATACGGATCTCTTAGCAATTGATTTAAATGGAAGAATCTCTTTTATAGCCTTTCACACACACTAGTATTTTTGTTAAAACCCCCTCCTGGATTTTGTTGTTACGATATTGTTTGGCATTAGTGTCATGGTGTTGTTCTGTTTCTTTCAGCTTTACTTTCTGTATTTTAACCTTTAAAAAAAAGTAAAAACCAGATTGTCTAGTTATGGTACTTTATACGGCTGGCCAAAACACTTTGCTTCTGGCCAAATTCAAGAGAGACAGCTTACTGTTGGTATATTTGGGATCCTGATATTTAGAGCATGACTTGTGCGTGGTAAAGTATAAAATGATGCAAAACCCTACACAGTGTGGCATTGTATAGATACATTTGTGATTTTTAAGTATAAATCCCTTAAATTTGAAGTCAAGCATCTTCATCTACACAGTACTTCATTCTGTATAGTGTTTATTTAGAGATATGTTCCCATATTCACTTGCTTATTAAGAATTAGAATGAAAACTTTTAGTAAGGATTGTGTTGACTGTTCTATTGATAACTTGAAAAAGATATATAAGTAAAAAAACTGGTTAAGTCCTGAGGAAAACCTAATCTTCACATATTTAAGGCATAAGGTAGCTAGGAAGCATAGATATCAATCTTTGTTTTTAGAAAATTTTATATTTATACTATTGGAAATTACATCACATATGATG